TCGAAGAAACTTGACTAAAACCGACTCCCCAATCTCTCAAGTATTCTGTTAGGATTCGGGGAAGGGAAAACCGAACCTCGAAGGCAATTTAACGCTCGAACACGCCCACATAGCTGGGAGGCGGACAATGGACCCGCTCCTGACTATAAGGGGCGAACATCTTAATATCGCGAGGCAGCCTGATAGACGTCCGAATTTTGACCATTTTATCGTCCGTCATATCACTGGAAATATGGGGCAACCCAAAAATACTCGTCGTCGGCCATTCGCGATACGGATGACGTCAGTAGCATTAGGAACGGATATGACAGTTTGTTCGATCCGGTGATCCTCATCTGGACTCTCCATCTGAAGAGGCAATCTCATCCTACCCGTCGTGTTGCCTTGTAAGGCCTCCTCATATTGCTCCTCATTGTAGCTCTTGGACGAAGACGAAGCCTCGACACTCATAATGATAGAGAAAGAGGAGAGAAGAAAATGAAAAGAAGAGAGAATTACCTTCCCAACAGACAGCGAAACGAAAATCAGAGAGGAACCGAATGAGTGCACGAGCTAATCGGTCTTGGAATAAGGAGAATTTTGAACAAGTTGAAATGGAAATATCAATTGAGAAGATTTCAAAAAGGGAATGGTGGTATTTATACTATCCAAAAAGGGAATGAAGAGACACAATAATTTATACGCGAGACAGCATATCGGAGAAGCGATTCGCATACACCATCAATGCAGGAACTGCCAGCGAGAGGGCGACACGTGTGTAGTTGTAGTTATTGTCGGGACCCCCTAATAAATAAGACGCGCCTTTTTGCGAGAAGATAGCCGTTACAGGACCGATGCGCCGATTGGTAGGTAATGGCGGTCAATTATGAGAACGAGTGGATGAGAGTTTGTCCAGTCCGTCATGAGAAGCAGATCCAAGCATCACGACCGGAGATCATACCTCATGTGATACCCGAATCAGGGGGCCTTTGTTGGTGGCATAGACCAAATGACCCGAGCTCACCCCCACGACAGAACGAGCGGACCGACTAAGAACAAGTCGGATAGGCTGAGGGACGAGCGCAGACTCAAGTGGGAAATTTACCCTCATCATTACCAAAATCAGCCGTTCCAGGGGCATTAAATACGGAGATCTTTTGGGGCGGCTAATCTAATGGTGCGTAAGATTCAAGGACACGTGGCGTAATTCGGATGAGCCATTAATGTTGAGATTAGATTGTGTAGTACATTAGCATTTAATATGGAATGACTAATATCTTAGAATATCTTGTAAAGGGAATGTAGAAAAATCCCATAAGAGGGAAATGTACAAGGTCCCTAAACCTCTTATATAAGGGGAGAGAGGACAACATTTAATGTTATGAGTAAATGCTCTCATTAATTACTATATAAGTCACGAACAGAATCACTATTCGTTCCACACTTAGAACCGAATATCACGCACATCTTTTTGTTCGTGCAAACCGAACCAAGTACACACCTTAGTGTACAGTTCGAATATATTGTTGGTCATCTTTAGACATCAACAGTATCTACATGAATCTATGAGTCTATTAGTGTATCAAGGTGGTCATGTTCTAGGAATTTACATAATGCATGAATAGAAATTGATGCATGAAGGTAAAATGTAGGTGAAATGCATGATAGTAATTAGGGGAGTTTGAAAAGGTATTCATAAAAAATTCTCTCAAGTGGAAGGTCCGATTCCGTCGAGTGAGGGGTATAATTCCGTCGAGTGAGGGTAGGGATTCCGTCGAGTGAGGGTTTTTCCATTGAGAGAGGTATTCATAGAGAGGGTTTCGCAGTTCAATTGGGGTGGGATTTAGGGTTTTCTCGGGTTTATAATGGGGGATCGAGAGAGTGCGATCGATGCGGAGATAGAAATGTCTAATCGCCTTAAGAATTTTTCGCTAGCAGGAGTGGAAAATTAAGTTATTGACATTGCGAATACAGACATTACGGCGAGCGCTGAGGAATGTGGAAGGAGCTTGATGGGGAAGATAATTGGCAACAGAAGAGCATCACTGCTGGGGCTGAAAAGAACTATGGCGAGCATATGGAGAACTCAACAGGGAATGGAGGTTCGGGAGATAAGCTTCAATTACTTTCAATTCATTTTCGAGAACCGGGGCGATTTGAAGAAGGTGTTACTGGGAACAAATTGGATTTTTGAGAACCAGTATCTAGTTCTACAGGAGTGGAGGAAAGGAGTTAAAGAAACTGACAGGGAGTTTGATGAAGTCTATCTATGGGTTCATGTGTACAATCTTCCCCTGGAATGGTTGAGTATGGAAGTTGGAGTGAAGGTGGGAAGAGTGTTTAAGAAAGTGAAAAATGTGACGATTACAACAGCTTTAGGCGCAGGAGGCAGGATCATTCGATTGTTAGCTGCAGTGGGTGTAACCAAAGCTCTGCCCAGATGTACTACATTAAGATTGGGAGATCAGAAGGTCACAGTAAGTTTCAGATATGAGAGGTTAGTGAACCTCTGCTACTACTGTGGGTACTTAGGGCATCTTGACCGTGATTGCTCAAGTAAAGAAGCAGATATTGAGAAAGGGGAAATTAAGGTGGGGCAGTATGGGGACTGGCTTAAGGCAGGAGAAATCAGATCCTTTAGTAACTCTGGACAATCAAGCCAGTCAGCAGATAAAGAACAAGGTAACTCAGAAGAGCAAAGGAATGTCCAAGGGAGTATGGGCAGGACTAGTTCTGACCAACATGATCTGGTGGAATTCCAAGGAGGAGAGGTGAGAACAGGGACAGTTAACTTAATCAAGAACCTCAATATGGTGGAGTCCAGCTCTTCTAGGGAAGACATGGATAGGCCTCAGGTGGAAGCAATGGGAGATAGAGAAATGGTCAGAAGGGAGGAGCAACTGATAGAGGATCAAACTCTTGGGAGGGAGCAGGTGCTTATACCCACAGAGGAGATGGCTGATGTTAATGATGAGGATAAAAAACAGCTCATGGTGATGGACCCTGAGATAGTCCCAGCCCAAAATCAACACCCAGTAGTCCAGAAAACTTGGAAAAGATTGGGTAACAAAGAAGGCAGGCTCTTGAGAGAAAAGAAGGAAACCAGTGGAATCCAACTTCAAGGAATGAAGAGGGGAAGACAGGGTGGTACAAAGCTGATTACAGTGGATGAGGAAGAAGGGAGGGATGATGGTACACTAAAGAAAGCCAGAAACAGTCCAGAGAAGGTGGAGAAGGCCAGCCTCAAGTGGCCCCAGAGTGATCAATGAGAGCTCTGGTGTGGAATTGTAGAGGCCTGGGTGGGGTCTCTACAATTTCCCAAATCAAGGAGTCCATGAGGACCCATCACCCTCATTTTACTTTTCTTTCTGAAACAAAAAACTGTAATCTGTTCACTATGACTGTTTGTAAGAAGTTGGGGTTTGCTAGCAGAAATCTTATGGTAGCTCCTAGAGGACTCAGTGGGGGGCTATTATTACTATGGACTGAAGAGGTGGAAATCAAGGATATGAGCTGTGACCAGTTTAGTATAGAGGTGGAATTCAGATGTTAGAGCAGTGAAAGTTACAGGAGGGTAATTTTTGTTTACTTGAGTACAGATAAAGGTTCTAGGGAATGCCAATGGAGGGAGCTTGAAAATAGGAAGGGTGGTTGGGGAGATAGATGGTGTGCTATTGGAGACTGGAATGATGTGGCTAAAGTGGAGGATAAAAAGGGGGGAAGGCAGAGGTCTAAAGCTAGTCTGGTGGGGTTCCAGAACTTCATAGCAAATATGGGAATGACTGAAGTGCATAGAAAGGGTTACACTTTTACTTGGGGCAACAACAGGGAAGCTGAGGGATTTGTGGAGGAGGCTCTAGATGTTGGGTATGCTTCTCTGGGATGGCTTCAGGACTATCCTCTCACTCAAACCACAACCATGTTCAAAAGCTCTTCTGACCATCATATGTTACTTCTTGAAGATGAACCACCAAACCAGCAAGTTAAGAGGAGATTCCAGTTTGATAAGAGGTGGCTATCCAGAGAAGGAGTGAAGGATGTTATCCAAGCTGCTTGGGAAGGTCAATTGGGGGGGACACCTATGTTCAGTCTGAAAGAGAAAGTGAAGAAGACCAGAGTGGCCTTGCTTAATTGGAGCAAATATTTCAGAGCTAATGAGAAGAAGCATAGAGAAAGGCTTTCTTTACAGCTCGAGGAGATGAGAGAAGCTGGGGGCCAGAGGAATTGGGAGGAGTGGGATAGACTGCAGAAGGAGATGGATGAGGCTAATAAATCAGAGGAATTGTTTTGGCAGCATAAAGCAAGAGTGGAATGGCTGAGAGATGGAGAGCAAAATACCCACTTTTTTCATGCCTGGGTGACCCAAAGAAGAAAAACCAACTCAATAAGCAGACTGGTGACTGATCAACAGAGGATTTGTGAGAGCAAGCAGGAGATTGAAAAGCATGTGGAAAGTTACTATACCAACCTGTTTACTTCAGAAGGTTCTAATGGAGGGGACAGAGTGCTGCAAAACATCCAACCATCAATCTCAGAGGCTGATAATGAGGTGCTGGTAGCAGAAGTAGAAGATGAAGAGATTAAACAAGCTCTTTTCTCGATGAACCCCAGGAAATCTCCTGGCACAGATGGTATGCCTGCATTATTTTACCAACACTTTTGGCCATTGGTGAAGTCTGATCTTTGTGAAGCAGTGAGAAGTTTTTTCCAGTTTGGTCAGTTACTTCCTTATTGGAATCATACTTTAATTACGTTGATACCTAAATGTGCTAATGCTGAGCATCTGAACCAATTCCGGCCTATTAGCTTATGTGCTGTGGTGTACAAAATAATATCTAAGATTCTTGCTACCAGATTGAGAAATTGCATCCATAAATGTGTTAATGAAGCTCAATCAGCTTTTTTGCCTGGGAGATTATTGACTGATAATGTGGTTGTTGCTAATGAGGGGCTGCATTTCTTGAACCGACACAGATCTGGTAGACACTCTTTTATGGCAGTTAAATTAGATATGATGAAAGCATATGATCGAATTGAATGGTCTTGTATAGAACAAACAATGCTTCAGATGGGGTTTGATCCCAGGTTTGTGAAATGGATCATGGCTTGTGTGTCTACTGTCTCTTTTTCTTTTATTATTAATGGTGGATGTTCTGGTTTGGTGAATGCTCAGAGAGGTCTTAGACAGGGAGACCCGTTGTCTCCCTATCTATTCATTCTGGTTTCTGAGATCTTATCTGCTATGATTACTGATAAGGTGGAGAGAGGGGCTTTCAGGGGAGTTTCTGTGGCTAGGGGTGCCCCAGTTCTTTCACATCTCCTATTTGCTGACGACTCCTTGGTTTTTTGTAAAGCTGATAAATACCAGGCTCAGTTGCTATTATCTATTCTCTCTAGATATCAAAACTTCTCGGGGCAAAAAGTTAATACAGCAAAATCCTCCATATTCTTTAGCAAGAACACTAGTGCTGCAACTCAGAGGGAAGTTTGTGCTGTTTTTCCTGGGATTCAAATTCAGAGATCAACTAGGTATCTGGGCATGCCTCTGGGGATTGGCAAATCGAAGAAAGAGGTCTTTGGCTTTGTGACAGAGGCAGTAAGGAAGAAGGTAGTCAGCTGGAAGAACAAATTTCTTACTGCAGCAGGGAGGAAAGTTCTCATTAAGTCTGTACTCAATGCTCTCCCACTGTTTGTAATGTCCTGCTACAGGATTCCAGTGAGCATCTGCAAGGAGGTGGCTAGTATATTTGCACAATTCTGGTGGAGTAAGGGTGGAGATCATAGCAGAGGGGTCCACTGGAAGAGATGGGAGCTCCTTACCTTGACCAAAGATATGGGAGGTCTGGGATTCAAAGAGGTTGGATTGTTCAATGATGCCATGCTTATTAAGCAACTCTGGAGAGTGATCACACAACCTCAGCTAATGATGAGCAAAATTCTTAAATCCAGGTATTTTCCTAAATCTTCAATCTTTGAAGCTAATATTCCTCAAAACTCCTCCTGGCTATGGAGATCCTGGTGTAAAGTGAGATGGCTACTGAGAGAGGGATTACAGATAGAAGTGAGAAATGGAGCTTCTGTGAAACTTAATGATTTTAATTGGGTGCCTGAGATAAGGGGCAGGAAGATAACCCTCAAAGAGGGAGTAGTAGGGGATGTCTGCATTCAGGAGTTAATGGAGAGGGATGGAGACAGATGGGATGTTCTAAGGTTACAGGAGCTGGTGGAAGAAAAGGATTGTAATGCTATTTTACAAATCAGCACCTTGAATAAGCAGTTGGAGGATAAATGGAGATGGAATATGGGGGTTCAAGGGAAATTTTCAGTTGCATCCTCCTACAAGTTTCTCCACAAACAGAAAATGATAGGCCTGGATCTAGCAGAAGGAAGTTTCAATGCTAGAAGAAACATGAAGATAAGACAGAGGAGCTGGGGGCTTAACATTAAAGGGAAACTCAAACACTTTTTGTGGAGATGTGTTAATGATGCTATGCCTGTTAATGTTAATCTGAGGAGAAAAGGCATTGAGGTGGATGTCATATGCAGCTGCTGTGGGGAAGCTGAGGAAACAGTTGAACATGTCCTGCTCAAGTGCAAGAAAGCTAAAAGGGTGTGGCAGCAAGCAATGGTTCAGTGGGATGGGCTGAAAGCTGCAGAGGATAGGTTTGCAGATTGGTGGGGCTCTGTGTGTTCTATTAAGAGTGCTGCAGTTAATGAAGCCAGGATTGAGCTTACTACTTATATACTTTGGTGGCTATGGAAGGCAAGAAATTTATGGGTCTTTGAGCATGTGTGGAGACCAGAACAGGGGATTGTGAAAGGTGCTTGGCAGGATTGGCAAGAAGGCTTATCAGTGAAGACACTTCATAAGACCAGAAGCCCATAAATAGGTCTGCTAGGCAGTTCAGTGTTTATGTGTTTTTTTCGGTTCTCATGTGGTAGTCTGGGTTTTGCTTCTTATTTTCTGGTCATTGCTTGTTGTCTTGTGTTGTCTTGTAGGGGTTGGTTGTGACCATTGTAGGGCTCAGTTGCATTAGTCTGCCTATGGTGGTTCTTTTCTAGGTTTTTAGTTGTTATTTAGCCTACCTTCTAGGTAGTGCTCTCTGGTGTAGCCCTCGGCTGTTATGGTCTTGTATCAAACTTTTTTTTGTGTTATGGAGAATATCTATCGTTTGGAAAAAAAAAAAAAAAAAAAAAGAAAAGGTATTCATATACATATAAGTACCTATGTGAGATATTTGCAAGTTGTAAGAGTGTAGAAGCCAACAAGAAGAAGAATAATATAATAAAGTTTTTTTTATTACTTTCTTCTTCCATTTTCTAACAACTTGGTATCAAGAGCCATATTTCTTTGGAAACCGAGACATGAAAAATGTCGAATGGAACCCTATTTGTAGTTCCTCCACTTATAAAAGAAAATTATGATAACTTGTGCATAAGAATGAGAGTTTTGCTTGGAGCCTATGAGTGTTGGGACTCCGTAGAAAGAGGAGTTGACGAAAGTGAAGCGGACCGGCGAAAAAAAGACCAAAAGGTGCTCACACTTATGCATCAAAGTTGGATGAGAAGATGTTCAAAAAGTTTGCTGCAGCGACCACCTCCAAGCAAGCATGGGAAATTCTTCAAGCATCTTTCAAAGGTGTAGACAGAGTGAAGAAGGTGCGTCTCCAAACATTATGATGTCAATTTGAGTCCCTCCGCATGAAGGAGCTCGAATCTATTTCGGATTGTATCTCAAGAGTCTTAGCCATTACCAATCAAATGAAGAGGCATGGAGCTCTCATCTCTAACTAAGATTTAGCACATACTTGAATCTTGAGAGAGAGGAGCTCTCATCTCTCACTAAGATTTAGATTCTTAGCGCCCGAATCTTGAGCTTGTTTCCGTGATATTCCATTTGATTTCACCACCTGAATTCACATACTTGAATTATTCACTTCTTTTCGATTATTTTAAGCTGAATATCTTCCACTATGAGTTGAAGTCCAATTGGTTGAGCTATTCCCGTTGCGCACAGAATTACTTAATTTTGCCAATTAACAGCACTTCCGTGGATTGCTTATTATCTGGAGCTAATTAAAGGGATTTGAGTGCTCACTTTTCATAGAATCCATATGCTATTTATTTTCTACCCACTGAAGCTTCATTAAGTGACTTGCGCAACAACCTTAAAACTGAGCATTCATGGGTAAATCAAAGAAGAAGCTCAATACCAGAAATTGACCGAGGAAGAATGCTCTGGGCATTCCAATGATCTCGATGATATCTCCCACGAGGACTTGGATGAAGAGCAACTAGCTATGGTGGAAACAAGAATGAAAGTTGATAGCTCAAAGTCTAATGAGGGAACTAATGATGATATTAATGCGAACTTAATTGATGATGATGAGGTGGTTGAGGCTATTAAAGAGCCTATAGTTGCCGTGAAACAGGTCGGGCAAGAGAAGAACCAAGATCAAGCCAAAACTCAACCTTCAAAACCTGCCCGCAACGTGTTTGACAAAACGACACAAAAGAATCTGGACTCCCGAAAGAGGACATTCTCGGCTCTCTTTGCCGACAATCGCAAGGCCTCTCATGGATTCAAACTAAACTACATTCCACCGGATAATGGACTGGACCTAGACGACGACGACTTATAGGACGTTACGAGCACGTGAGGCTTTTGCCTTGTCGGGTACTTTACCCAAAGGCACCCGAGCAAGAAAGCATTGTTGAGGCTATGTAACTCATGGGAAGTCCAATGTGAATACATCCCCAACGTGAATGGATGGATCGTCTTCAAGTTCAAAAATGAAGATGATAGAGAAAAGGTCCTTCAAGGGGGCCCCTACTCTATTTACGGCCGAGGACTCATTCTTAAAGTGCTCCCCAATTAGTTCCAATTTGGCGAGGATGACATCAAAACCGTCCCCGTTTGGATCAATCTCCCCCTCCTATCATGGAATTGTTTGAGCACCAATGCCCTTGGCAAGATAGCCTCTTGTGTCGGTAGGCCCATCACAACCGACAAGCTCACAGCTACAAGGGACCGATGCAACTATGCTCGAATTTTGGTGGAGCTCGACCTCTCCAAGGAAAGAGTCTATAGCATTCCCGTCAAATCCAAAGAGAAATTCATGTTTGAGCAAAAGGTAGAATATGAGTACGTCCCACAATATTGCAACCATTACAAATACATTGGACACTCTACCTCCAATTGTGGGAAGCGTAAAGCCTACGTTGACAAAATAGCCGAGGGCAAGAAACCAGTCGGGGAAACCAGTACCATGGTGACTACCAAGGTTGCGGTGGGACCAAAAGAAAATTTACAATAAAGTAAGAAATGGGAAAATACCAACAAAGAGCATGGGGAGCGACCCAAAACCAAAGAGGTGGAGGTCGTAGAGAAAAACCAAAATAAAGGTGATCAAGAGAAAGAGGGCAACGAGGATTGTAATACAAGGAAAGAAGCGATGACCTCGAATGCCGGTTCTTCCTCTTTTCCAACCGGGGACTTGGAGGTCCACGAGAACCCTCATCCGGATAATGAAGACGACTCCTTCCAAGTGGTACCCGTAGTGGAGCCGCGAGCAAAGACACCGTAACTACGGGCCAATACTCTAAACCTAGAGACAAACCAAGCGGGAGGAGAGATGGGGGCAAGGTGAATTCGACGAGAATGGGGGCCAACCCTCCTCCTCCCAATGATCATCGCCTCATGGAACATTTGGGGCTTTAACGGGCCCTTAAAACAAGATGAGGTGGTAAACCTCATCCGAAGAAATAATATTGACGTTTTGGGACTCTTGGACATGAAGACCGACACTAGACGGCTATCTCTCTTTGGGAATAGAAGGTTGTCGGGTTGGGCTTTTTGTGAGAATTTTGATGTTGTTGACCGGGGGCGCATCGCCATCCTATGGAACCCCATGAAGGTTGACATCATGATGGAGGCCGCTTTGCCACAAACCATTTTTGCAAAGATTTGGTGCAAGGTTAGTAACCATTTGTTTATTGCTAGCTTTATTTATGGACTACACTCGAGGGGAGATCGAAAGTCGCTGTGGAATGACCTTAGGGTCTACCGGGGGAGGACCTCCTTGCCTTGGTTGCTCTTCGGGGACTTCAATGCTAACCTCAAACCGGAGAAGAGAATTAAAGAGGAGAGAGTCACTAACCGGGACACTATGGACGTTTTGGAAGTTTGTGGCGCCTTGGGATTGTCGGACATCCCCTCAAGCGGTTTCTACCACACTTGGTCCAACAATCATGTTTGGTCGAAACTTGTTAGAGCAATGGTGGAAACTCAATGGGAGAATGCCGACCTATTCTCGCATGCAACTTTCTTAGCTCCAGGTATTTCCGATCACTCTCCATGCATAGTTATAATATTTGAGGCGAGGAACACTAGGTTCTTCAATATGTGGACGGCCCACGAGCAGTTCTTGCCGAATGTCCAAAACTCTTGGAACCATGGTGGTGGTGGCTCGAGGCAATTTCGCCTTGCCAACAATCTGAAGAACCTTAAGATCTTGCTTAAGGCCCTTAATGAGGAGTCTTTCTCACATATCTCCTCCCGGGCCAAAGAAGCGAAGAATACCCTAAAGAATGCACAACAAGAGCTCCATGACCAACCTGATGATCCCGAGACCAAGGCCAAGATGCCTTCGA